GGGCGGCGCCCCCGGGTGGCAGCTCGGCTGCAAGGCCGCAGCTGCGGGTGCGCGAGGCTGGGCCGCTGTGTCTGCGCGCTGGCCAGCGGCGCCCCTCTCATTTCCCGCTGCAGATCACACGGGACCAGGGCGCACGGGGACCACGGCGGACGCGGCCCGACGGGACTTGGCGGTGATCGGAGGTGGCCCTTCCCGGCTGGGCACAGCATGAGCCAGGGTGACATCGGGCCGGGGGGTGGCCACAGGGCGGCTCCCCACCTCCCAAGCGCTGGGCGCTGAACATGGAGGTCACCGGGGCCTTTCCCCAGGCTTCGTCCCTGGAGACAGCTTGCTAGGCCCCCCTGGGAAAAGCACCGTGGCTGCTGGATTTCAGCAAAGCACAGTAAAAGTGTCTAACGAGGAAAAGTCTGGACTTGCCGATGGCCGCGTGGATCCCCCAGGGCGTTGGCGGGATGTTGCCGGAAATGACGCTCCCTTCTCTGTTGGCGCTGGGGCGGGGGATGCTAACGGTGGAGTTGATGATTGCTTCCCTGGGCGTTGATTGTGGTTCCAACTGAAATGAAACCCTTGACAACTTCAATCTCCTCCATTTACCATGATGCTCTTTATTGGTCCAGTTGTGAGGACTTTTTTTTTTTACGTTGAGGTGTAAACCATACTGAAGGCTGTAGTCTTTGATCTTCATCAGTAAGTGCAAGTCATCCTCACTTCCAGAAAGCAAAGTTGTGTCATCTGCATATGGCAGGTTGTTAATGAGCCTTCCCCCACTCCTGATGCCACATTCTTCATATAGTCCAGCTTCTTGGATTATTTGCTCAGCATGCCGATTGAATGAATGCCGCAAAGGGATACAACCCTGACACACGCCGTTCCTCATTTTAAACATGCAGTGCCCCATTGTTCCCTTCAAAGTACTGCCTCATGGTCTTCATACAGGTTCCTCATGAGCACAACTAAGTGTCCTGGAATTCCCATTCTTGAAAATGTTATCAATTATTTTTGGATCCATATAGTTGAATGGGAGCTCTGGTAGCATAGTGGCTAAGACACTTGC